TGTCATCTAGCGATCCTGGATCTTGCATCTTACATACATGTCATTGCATTGCATCTGTTGTGCATCTTGCATTTCATTTCAACAACAAAGACTCATTTATCCTTCCTTCCTCTCTAGTAAATCAAGATGATTCCTCGACACCAGTACGCAACTAGAGCCAGTACAAGACGCCTGATGGAGCTGATTTAGCAAGAACAAGGTGCCTTCAGAGAAGAGCTGAATTCCCTCAAAGGAAAGATTGACCAGATCCTCGAAGCCATCACTACGGCTAGAAAGGATGAGGAGATGTGTGAAGTTGTTGCCGTCAACAAATGGTCAGATGCAAGGGTCTACCTCAAGGCTCTTAGTGCCTGTTCCTAACCCCATGACTTATGGGAGGGCTAAAAAACTTTGCTACCGCCGGTGAAGGAACCACCTCTCAAACAATCCCAGCACCTGGAGTTACTATTTGAGCTATCTCGTAAGCCCAATTTGTTGGCATTCAGATCCCCGTTCCTCATCCTAAATAAAATCTGCTAGACCAGTGTGATGATGTGCAAAGCTATCATACCGCTATCCCCATTACCAATCCTGTTGCTGCTCAAAATTCAGAAGCTATAAAAATGTGTTGCGATCTAGCTGAAAAACTCTGAGTCATGAAGGGGGACAATTCAAGTTCTCTCAGTGCTCTAGAATTGTGCTTGGTGCCGAACGTCGTCATTTCTCCCAAGTTCAAAGCACTCGAATTCTCAAAGTACAAAGGCCTCAGTTGCCCAAACATTCACCTAAAGATGTATTATCGCAAGATGGCTGCTTATGCTAGAGAGGAAAAGTTGATGATTCATTGCTTCCAATACATCTTGTCTGGGGAATCACTCGAATGGTATATGCAGCTGGAGCATAGAAATGTGCGCACTTAGGCTGAGCTAGCTGATGCATTTGTCAAGCAGTAGAAATAAAACACCGACCTTGCTCCGAATCGTACTCAACTTTAGAGTATGGCTCAGAAGGACATCGAATCCTTCAAGGAGTACGCGCAACAATGGAGAGAGCTAGATGCAAGGGTGCATCTACCTCTTGTTGACCATGAACTGATTGACATCTTCATGGGTACCTTGCAAGGCCAATACTATGAAAAGTTGATTGGCAGTGTGTCTGCTAGATTCTCTGACTTGGTGATCGTCGATGAGAGAATCGAGGAAGGTCTGAAGAGCGGAAAGATCCAAGGAGGTTTTAGTAGTCAGAATGGTGCCAAAAAGCCTTTCAACGGATACAAAAAGAAGGAGGGTGAAACAAATGCCATCTATGTGCAGAAAGGGCAAGCTCCTTAACAAGCTCTCGGTCCTATGCCTTATCAAGTTCCTTACTATCAATATTCGTATGTTGCTTCTGCGTAATATGCTCAAATGCCTTATCACCCAGTTGTTCAAGATCAAATGCCTCAGTAACAGGCTCCTCAACAACAGTCCTACAATCAGCAAGGGTACCAATATCTCCTCAGCATCAGCAACAACAAGCTACTCAACAACAGTGTCAGCCTAATCAGTAGAGAACATGGAAGCCTGACAAAGTCTTTGATTGTCTGCTAATGTCATATGCTCAAATCTTTGCTCAATTGCTGGAGAAAAAGGTCATTTCTTTGAGAGACTTAGCTCCCCCAACTGTCATTCCTGCCGACTATGATGCAAACGCTCATTGTGAGTTTCATAAGGGCGCTCAAAGGCATACAATCGAGAACTGCAGAGCTTTCAAGCACAAAATTCAGGATATGATCGACAGGAATGTTATAAACTTCAATGGGAAAACTCCAAATGTCATCAACAATCCTATGCCCCCGCCAAGCTAGTGCCAGCGTCAGATCAAATTAAATCAAGTCAAGTCAGGTTCAGTTCATCTCCCCGAGGAAGGCAGTCATGTTGCCATTTCATCTTTTGCTTTCTTGTATTTTGTCATTGTTTGTATAAGTATTGTACACTTTAAACATTACCCTTCGTATTTGGTTTTTTTAATGTATTGGTTATGCATGCTTTGACTTAGTTATGTCGTATTCATTCATTTCTTTCACCTACCACGAATCACAGACACATTTATCCACTTCTCTCTTTATCAATTGTGGTTTAGCATGATTGGAAGGAGGATGATGACAATGAAATACCCATAATTGCAAACTATATGCTTTCAAACAGAATCCTGTCAATGATGTACAAGCATTGTTTCAATTTCCCAAACACTGGAGAGACAAGGAGTTAATCCCTAGTTAACCACTTCGATCCTAGAAGTAGTAGTTTCCTTTGGATATTCAAACCTTTACACTTAACTTGGGGCAGTGTAGTGTTTAGTTAATTCAATTTCGCACTCAAATCATAAAGTAAGATTAAAAGAAATGATGGTTGTTCATCAATGACCCATGACATGGCAATCACAATCCTACAACAAAATCAAATTAAAAAAATCAAAAACCTGATAAGTCAACTAACTTGGAATGAGATATTGCTTCAAACCTCAAACCCTTTCATGGTGGCGACATTTCTTTGGCAGCTCCATCAACCTCCTTTCTGCATTACATTAATATATGAAGATCATTAACAAAGACCTTACTGCTAATTATCTATATCATTCAATGACTGACAATTAATACTTTCCCATAATTCATTACTACAGAATTCTTTAAACATCACTTAAGCCCAACAAATATTACACAAGACATTCTCAATAATGACAAATGATGAATTTGAAATACTTTTAAAATAACAAATTTCATTACATAGGGCAAAACTACATAGCATTTTGTAAATCATAAATTCTAAAACATTTAAATACTTTACTCTTTTATGGTTTTTCCTTTAACATCTTTGATGTTTAAACCTTCTCTATCAACCCTTGACTTGGAAGCACCGCCAACTTTCAAAGACTTCTGCGGCGGTGGTGATTCTTTTACAGAAACTCCTAAGTTCTCCTGCCTGCATTTGGATGAAATACATTATAAATTTTGTAGCTAATTCAATGCAACAACAGTTACCCGTTTGTAACAAATTGGGTAATATAATCAATTTTCAAACTAAAATCTCAAATGGAAATTTCTATATAGACATGCAATAATATATTTAAGTTCACATGCAATGATCTATTCAAATAAAATACCTCATTATCATGGTCGTATCAATCACAACTTTTCTATAACTTTCTACTTTCGATCGAGACAATCATGCTTCATGTGAATTGCTCACATTTTTCCGATTTCCTCTTTGGATTTTCTTCTTCCTTCCAGCAATTATTTTTCCATTATTTCCAACATTTGCTTCATCGTACATCGCTTTCAAAGTAGCTTGAAGAAACTTTTCATCTCTTTCGAATTCGGATGATGAGTTGCATGCAATTCATCAAATACATTACAAAAGATATAATCAGTATTCTAAAAGTTTGAAGAAATAACATTCAATTTAAGTTTCAAGTCTGAAAACATTACCCGCTTGAGATATAGATTGGTCTTGAAAACATTGTTCTTCTTCTGCAATGCTTTCTTTTTCGGTTTCCAACTGATTCAGCATGTCAAACTGAACGAATCTCTTTTCTACTTTAACATTATTGGGCCCATCTGATAGCCATCTAAAACCTACCCAATTTGACAAAGAAATATTTTTCCTCCAATACTCTTTTTCTATGATTTTACGGCCCATTCATTTTTTTCATTTTCCTATTTAAATCATTTAATGATTACCATTTATTCATTTTCAATATATTATAATTTAATTTTAACAAATTCTTCATTTCTTAATAATTTATATTACCTCTATTTTCAATTCTTTTCAACAAATAATACATTATTCAATACACATTTTAATTTATTAATCACCACTTTTTTTATAACCATTAATAAGTGTAAAGTCTTTAACATCCTATTTAACAATTTCTATTTTTTTTAAACATAACAACATTTTTTATTTAATTTCATTCAAACATCAAAATCATTTATCTCACACTTTTTTTTTCTATTTAACCACCCTATCAAAATATCTTCTTATACTTACCTTTACAATAATTTATTTCTATTAAATCTATATTTAGAATTTCAACTTCTCTTTTTTCAATTTCAATTGTATCAACAATAACACATTCGTTAACTAAAACTATCAAACATACAGGACCGTGCGAACACAAGAATTAGTTATTAATTTACATAAAGGTGCAAAGTGTCTTATAATTTAGGACGAACAGAGTAACTCTTTTTTTTTCCTAAATAAAATATCTTACAACTTTAAAATATAAAACAAAAGTTATAAAAAATATCTTACAACTTTAAAAAATAAAATCAATCTTAAAAACACAAAGCAAACTAATTTCCAAATTTTTAAAAATTCATTTGATGAATAATAATGAGATAGTTTAAGGAATATTTAATAAAAAAATTAAATACCACATTAATAATAGAATTAATAAAATATAAATTAAAAAATTATATGAATAATAATGAGATAGTTTAAGGAAGATTTAATAAAAAGTTAAATACCACATTAACAATAGAATTAATAAAATATAAATTAAAAAATAAAATAAAATTTCAATAAACTAAATAACAATTTTGAAAATAAAAATTACAAAAAGAACATATATAATAAAAAATAGAAGAACTAAACTACTAATTTAAGAAAGAAAAAAAGTAATAACATAAATCCAAAATAAAATTATCTAACAAAAAATATTAAGAAATGAACTTAGATCTATCTCTCTCCAAAAACCAATCCAAAACCATTTAAACCTTTTTTTTTATATCTTAGTTCAAACCCTTGGAGTAAGAGGTACAAATAGATGACAAGTACTAAAAGTAAAAAAATTAAATTAAATATACCACAAGATGTTGACATGTCTTGATTACATTTTTGTATACCACAATTAAAATGTTGCATGACATTGACTTGGAAAACAAACAACCACATATTACAAACAACGAGTTTTGCATTGTACCACACACAATTATCTTAACTAAACTATCAACGAAAAAAAAAACAATATTAATTAAACACTTATCTTCTGCTCTTGAGGGTATAAAGAGTATTGTTTGATTCTTCCATGGAATCTCCATGACCTGTTTCTGGTTCCTGACAACGCGTAGCATGCTTCTTCACACACGGTATCATGAATATGAACACCATGAAAAGAGAGAAACCAATGACAACAACAAGAAGAATTATCTTTCCATGTAAGGCATAGTTCTTGTCGAATGAGAATTGAACAATATCATCTTCTAGTTGTTGAGGACTGTAAGAACTCATCGTAGATACAAATTAAGGGAAGTGGATCCCTTAAAATGTTGAGTACTTTTACACATGCACCAAATTGTCGCAGTGTTATTTGGCTTAGTTTGCAACAATATTCTACTTGGTGATGATTGAGAATTATTTGTGTGTCAGTACAATGAAATGCAATAAGTAGGCTCTGAACCAAGTGGTCCATGGTTGCTTTGTTTTTTGAATTTTATTTATTCAGTAACATGTGATATGAATGTTGCAAATGTATGTGATTGATAACTCTTCACTAGGATAACGTTATCCAACTTTTTTTTGGGTTATGCCGTTGTTACTTGTCACCATGTATCGAATTTTTCTGATAAAATTATTATTTTTTATCTATTTCAAAATGAAAAATCATTATGTAAATCACTGTTATAGATTTGTTAAAAAAATTTGTCATATATATATATATATATATATATATATATATATATATATATATATATATATATATATATATATATATATATATATATATATATATATATATATATATATATATATATATATATATAAAATAAGATGTGAAATCTTTTCACGAATGTGTAGAAATTCCGGGTAATAAAACTCGGGTCAGCATAGACATTTCAAATATGTTGGAATTCCTATATTAACACATATCATATCATCGACAACAAGAAAAATAAAAGATTTCTGTCATTATAAATTTAAGGTAACAAAGAATAATTATCTCACAAAAAAAAACTTAAAAATTTAAGGTTAAACTGTAATTAACAAACCCGTGTTTACGGGGTACGTTTTGGATGAAATATGATTTTGTACGCGTATTTATTTGTAAATTGTTATAAAATTTAAAAGTTAGAAAAGAAAAAAAAAATTTAAATAATAATAAATTTAAGTTGAAATAATAACAAATGTAGAAGATAAAAGGTAAACAACAGTATGATTAAAAATAAAAATTATTAAAACTTATACATTATCTATTTAATTTCTTTTATAAATAAGACAATTATTTTATAAGAGAGAATATAACTTTTAAATATCTAATTTATCTTTTTAATAAGTTTTCTTAATTTTGTCACATATTTGGAAAAAAAAATATAGTTATAAATTTTTATTTTTTAATATTTAGATCAATAGTAAAGTTATTTTCGTTTATAACAATTTTTTTTTATATATAAAAATATTTTAATTAATAATATATTTTTTCCCGTGTATAAATATTATTTTTATTTTGATGTTATTTATAAAAATATTTGAATGAATAATAAAATTAATTTCATATCTAAAAATATTTGAATCAACAATGTATTTTTTGTCGTGCATGCATTAATGGAGTGGAACTTTGCTAAGTAATCAGCTTCTGTAATTCTATTTTTTCAGAAGCACTAACGCAATCAAATCAATTTGACTTGCAACATATCCATATTTCTACCTTTAGTGAATGATTAAATGGATAAAATGAGCATTATTATTGATTACTTGTTCAAATTGTATGTTATCGTCAAACTATTGGTACTTTAAAAAGAATCCAATGACATTATTATTTTATGAAGTTGAGTATATAGTGGTACTTTTGCAGCCTAGTAGTTTATATGGTTTGGACACATTATTAAAAGAATTGAAGTGTGGGTTCAACCACTTATTCATTTTTTCACAAAATTGTGAACAAGGCAGGAAAATGATTTTCATTTTTCTACTATTAGGTAACATTGAGGGTTAACTCTACACAGCCTAAACGTAATATATGTGTGTACTTGGAAACACAAGTTACAATCCTCCAATTTGAAGAGTAAAAGTGCAGTAAGTTTCTTATCATACTGTCGTAGCTGGTATATACTTGAATTATTGAAAAACGTGCAGCGAATATGTCAACATCACATGATAATGTTATATCCATGAGAACACAAAAAAAAATATAATACCAGCTGTCACGTCATATATAGTATAGGAAAAATGCAAAACATTACATTCATCACATAAGATGCACACATGATTTAAGAATGCTCAATTATGTTTGTTTCTACTTACTAAAGACTTGATAAATTATGGTAGTGAGATTCGCTTCTTTCAAAATTTGTAATTTACTTATCATCAAATACATGACAGAACTATAGCTTCCAAATTTGTTGTAACTGTGTCTCATAGCTTTACATTTTTTTCTATTCAAATTCTGCATATGCAACTATAATTGTCTCATCTGATTCACAAAATAAACTCAATCTTTTACTGCAGGAATAAGCTCTCTCTAACTCAATTCCTCCATAGAAACAACTGTGATAACAATTAATAAACTCAATCTGCAAAGGAAATTCAGCAATAGACATGACATCAACAAAAGTTGTATCAGCAAGCCTCTTAGATGGACGAACATGTTGCATTGATGGACATAAATTATCTTTATAATAAGATAGACCGGCATCAACTATCGTTGATGAGGAGCATATTAAGTTCTGTCAAATGATACTGCAAAGGTTTCATTGAGTTAGAAAAATCTTTGATGAGAAACATATTAAGTTCTGTTAACTTCCAAGTTAAACATTATTGTATACATATTGTCCATGTTAGGATATTATTAATTGTTAAGGTTATTATTAAATATTATTTGTTATTTGACTTAGTCTGCACTGATTGTGAGAGAATCGTGTTTACAGTTTGTTATTTTTTGTTATGCCTAAATTGTAGGGAGTCTAGTATTGCTTAGTGGTCATGCTTCCTCGCTACTACTTAGGAAGTATTCAGTTTCTTTTGTAAGCTATTTATATAGCAGTATTACTTTCTAATAAAATAACTCAGTTATCAGATTTGTTAACATCTGGTATCAGAGCGAGAGAAAAGAACTCACGAGAGTGCAACAAAAGAGTGTCTGGAATATGGGATCCGAAGAGAAGAATGGTGGATTTTTTGCACCCTCCATTCCCAAATTCGATGGAGATTACGATCATTGGAAGATGGTCATGGAAAATCTCTTGAGATCCCGAGAATATTGACCCGTGGTGGAGAACGGTTACACGCTACCTAGAGAAGGAGAAGTGCAGACAGATGCGCAGAAGAAGATCCTGGATGATTTGAAGCTTAAGGATTTGAAGGCGAAGAATTATTTGTTCCAATCCTTGGACAAATCAATTCTATGAACCATCACCAAGAAGGACACCTTTAAGCAGTTGTGGGACTCCATGAAGATGAAGTACCAAGGGAACGATCGGGTTCGGCGTGCTCAGCTCAATCGACTCCGACGAGAACTCGAAGTGTTGGCTATGAAACAGGGGGAGTCAGTTAATGACTACTTCGGAAAGGTGATGACCATAGCCAATGACATGCGAAATTGCGGTGAAGTCATGACAGATGTAAAAATCGTAGAGAAAAATCTGCGAACACTGAAAGAGAAATGGAACTACATTGTGTGTTCCATTGAGGAAGCTAACGATGTTGATACGCTCACAGTTGATGCCTTGCAAAGTTCCCTCTTGGTCCATGAACAGAAGTTCAAGAGGGAACCAGATGAAAAACAAGCGTTGGTGGTTTCTTATGGTGACACCGGTGGTCGAGGTCGAGGGAGAAACACCTTCAGAGGAGGAAGAGGTCGTGGATGAGGCCATCAGAGTTATAACAAAGCAACAGTTGAATGTTACAAATGCCACCAATTAGGGCATTTTCAATATGAATGTCCTAATCTTGAGAAGACGGTTAACTATGCTGAGATTAGCAAGGATGAAGAAATGCTTCTTATGGCTTATATTGAAGCATCAACGGAAAAGAGACATATTGTATGGTTCTTAGACAGTGGGTGCAGCAACCACATGAGTGGAGACATCTCTCTCTTTTTTGTACCATGGAGGAAAGGTTCAAAAGAGAAGTCAGTCTAGGGAATCATATGAAGATGAAGGTTGTGGGAAAAGGAAATGTTAGGTTAAATCTCGTCGATGTCGGTCATGTTGTTCAAGAAGTGTTCTATATTCCAGAATTGAAGAACAATTTACTAAGTATTGGACAGCTGCAGGAGAAAAGCTTGGCTTTTCTAATCAAGAACAATGAGTGCAGAATCTATCACCCATCAAAGGGCCTTATCCTTGAAAGCAGAATGACACTCAACATAATGTTCATATTGCTCTCGAAGACCTCCTTAGTCACCAATGAGTCAAGTGAATGCTGTTTCCAAATTGACATCCAAGAAATTGCTCATCTAGGCAATGCAGGTATGGCCACCTTAGCTATACTGGACTCCAAACTTTGGCTAGCAAAAACATGGTTAAAGGCTTGCCAAATCTTGGAGAAATCACTGTTGCTAGAAAAACAATTGTTGTATGCATTGGGTGTTTGAAAGGAAAACAACACAGGGAGATCATGCCAAGAAAATCCATGTGGAGAGCTGAAGCCCGATTGGAGCTTATACATGCTGACATATATGGTCCCGTCTCGTCAATGTCACATGGTCAAAAGAGGTACCTCATTTATTTCATTGACGACTTCAGTAGGAAAGCTTGGGTATATTTTATTGCTTATAAGAGTGATGCATTTTCTACTTTCAAGCAATTTAAAAGTCGGGTAGAAAGGGAGTCCGGTTTATTTATGAAATGCTTGAGAACTGATCGTGGAGGTGAGTTTACCTCACATGAGTTTACTAATCATTGTAGACAAGAAGGGATAAAAAGACAGCTCACCACAGCCTACACGCCACAACAAAACGGAGTTTTCGAAAGGAAAAACCAAACTGTCATGAACATGGCCAGAAGTTTGCGTGTCAAGAAAGAAGTACCTAAGGTTTTCTGGCCTGAAGCGGTTAATTGGGCGTTCCATGTGCTTAACAGGAGCCCCACCTCTGCTGTAAAAGAAATGACTTCCAAAGAGGCTTAGTCTGAAGTGAAGCCCACAGTCGAGCACTTTAGATTTTTTGGCTGCATTGCTCATGTCCACATTCCAGATGCTCGAAGAATCAAGCTTGATGACAAGAGCACTATGTGTGTTTTATTTGGAGTAAGTGAAGGGATATAGGTTATACAATCCCATTAGAGGAAATATGA